CTGTGGTACTCGGTAATGCGGTAATGCATTATTCCATCTTTCATGAATGGCCCTCAGTTATCTGATTTGGATTTGTCTTGCTCTGTCCATAAATACCAAGTGCCCTTGGGGAGTGAGTGTGAACTTCGCTATCCTTACTCATGTATGAGTAGGTAGGTAACCTCTATGGATGCTAGTAAGCTCCTAGTTTCTCACTCCTTTTAGTGGGTCGTGTACGAGTGGTAGAGCGGCCATCTTGCATTCACGTGCATTGGCAGCGAGGGATCGAATCCCGATTGAGAGGTTATAATGTTCATGATAGAAAATTCGGTAATGCATTATTCCATCTTTCATCAATAATCATATTATCATTGTATCATCATAATGATAATATCATCATTTTTATATCATCATTATCATCATCATCATTAATCATCATCATATCAATAATCATCTTCTCATCAATAAGCATCATCATATCAAAATCATCATTATATCATTATCCAACATTCATCATTGATAATCATCTCATCATCATTATTATTTACTAACAGCATCATCATTGATAATCATTATATCATCATTATTATATCATCATCAATAATCATCATCATCATCTATCATCATCAATCATCATCATTATCTCATCACCATATAGGCTATCATCATCATTCATTATTATCTTCATCATCATCATCCATCATTATCATCATCATCATCATCCATCATTATCATCATCATCATCATCATCATTATATCATCATTATCATCCATTATTATCATCATCATCAATGTCATGGGAATTTGTATTTGTTTTTAGTATTGTTATTGTTACTCCTATTGTTGCTATTCCTGTTGTAGGTGTTTTGATTATTATTATTATTATATTATTATTATAGTATATATATATATTATTATATAGTATATATAGTAAGTATATTTATTGTAGTAGTGGTGGTAGTAGTAGTAGTAATGTAGTAGTAATAGTAGTAATTGTAATAATAGCAGTTATAGTAATGTTGTTAGTAGTGTTATTATTATTGTTATTGTAATATTGACAACAATGATGGAAGTGAAAATGAAATATATTTTCCCAAAAAGTAAAGGAATGGGGTAAATAATGAGGTCAAATAATATTTGTAAAGGACTTCTTGGCAACTAAGCACTTACGGAGAAATATATGTGTAAAACCTATAATCGAGCAATATTATAGATAACAGTTCATGTACCAATATACACATAGCTACTCCGAGCATTGATAGCTTAGGAAATTGAATTTGAATGATAAGTGCTTAAAAGATAAATGGTGAGCATGCTGGTTATTTCTGCATTGTTTTTATTTATGTGTGTTTTTGTTTTTGTTTTTTGTTTGTGTAGTTCTCTTGTGTATAGGTATTGAGTATTTAAATAGTTGTTGTGTATAGAAGTGGTTGAAATCAGGGAAAGTGATGCAAAGTTTTGCCTTGCTGTTTTTGCAACATAGAAGGGGAAGTATAACAGGGAAGTGTCAGGTTTTACTTGTTGTGGATCAAAATTAATTATACATTTGATGGTTAGAAGGCCAATTGTTTCATATTAAAGTCATTTTAACCCAGTGCCGACGGGTAAAAATGTTTGGCAAGTGGACGTATGGATGGGCTTGTTGGCGCGCATCGGCAATCCCCTGTTTACTCCCGGCTCGATCGGTAGTTTGCGTGCGACATTTAGCACCTAAAAGCTTTTATTTTGCTATAATTTATTAAAATATTTAAATTTTGAAGGTCTTATCTTTATTATAGGTGCCATTGCCTAAAATCCTTACCATATAAATGAAGCCTACTATTGGAGAAAAACAAACTCCATCTGACGAGCCAGTGGCGCGGAATGGGCATGACATGATGCTACCCGTCTTTCGGTCCACAACAGGCCATGGCATGTACGTACATGCTGCCCGTGGCTAGGGGTTAAGCAAGGAAAGGTCTTGCCTAAAATTTCAAAGCTTTTTCTTGCTAACTTAATAATTTTGCTTGCTTTCTCAAGCGACCCTGTAGATGGCTAGACTTGAGCTTGCTAAGTCAAGCGGTGTACCGTCACCATGGCAACAGCCTCAGTCGCTTACCGTACTGGTTACAATCCTTCGAATGTGGCGTTGGCCAAGAACTGTTTAATATTTTATCAAAGAAATAATTTTTATGGTATCTGATTCTGTAATTTCTATGAAATTTATTCAAAGAAATAGAAAATAACTGAAAAAGAAAGGAGATAATGAAGATTATGGGAATGAAAAGTTTTTTCTAATGTCATAAATCATTATAAGACAAACAATTTATCTCTGACTTTTAAACTCCTGTCTCTAAATTGAGAATATATCTACTATTTAATGAAATAGAGAATATTTTAAGTGAAATAGTCTGAAAAATTCTAGCAACATTCTTCTATTGATATTGAATTTGGTGACTTCTTTTCAATCATAAAATCATATAGTTGGAAATGGGTAGACCTATATTTCAATTCAGTAATGTTCATTTGTTTTGATAGTGCCTGAGAGTGCAAGGTTGTCAATTGGAAGTGCATGTCACTGTTTTAGGGGCTTAGTATATGTATATAGGAGAAAATATTGCGCTTATTAAAGCCATCTTGATGTGGCGCTAGCCTGTCAGTTTTTTAAATACACGCTCCAACTGTTACCAGCCGCCAGTAAAATAAACTCCACCCTCAACTTATGCGTAAGATATCTCTCTCCAAGATTGTTGATAGGAATACTTTTCTATTGCGTTTAAAACCCGGGATATGTATATGTTGTGTATTATTTTGACATTTCCATACTCTCCAAGAACTGTTATGATTTGTATTATAGAAAGACACTTCCACATGTCTGGCATCACTGAACAAGTCTTGCCTACTGATGCAAATGATTTAAGCAGGGAACGGTACAGTTTGTGGTTTATCGGCAAGAATTCTTGCCCAAGTGCTCCCCTCATGAGTTGTGTCTCCATTTTGTCCTTTATCATCTTATGCGCTTATGTAGAGTTTTAGGAGCTTTAAAATTGCACTTTGGTACAGACAATACCTTTTTAGTTTTTTGGCATGACAGGTATTAAGTTTTAATTTTGCTTATTTCTGTCATTCATGTTAGGGACAAGTAATCAGGACAAGTAATAATTGAAATATTTTAGAAATATAGGGAAATATTATGTCATCATCAGATTTTAGTCTTGTAATGAAACTTTATTATTACTTGGTGCTTCTAAACCTAGTGAAATATTTTAAGTCCTACTTATGTATATATTCACTGATATTGTTGTGTACAGTTTTCTTTTTATGTAGCATTAATTTTCATAATTTTTATGCAAGTGATAGAAATATATTCTTTCATTGACTACTGTCAGGGCTAAACAAATGATATAATAGCAAATAGAAAGTTACATAATTATGTAGGACAACTGTGAGCATGGACGTTGTTAGCAATTCTGCTATCATATGTGAATATAAGACCACCACGAGAGAGTGTGGCTATAGTGCAGGTGAATGAAGGGATCTTGGCTTGTGGGTTTTTGCTGAAGGTAGATGTAAGACCCCAGTGGGATCCCCTGTCCCCCGGATGCCAAGGGTGGAGTGGTGATGAGCTGACCATATGTCTTGGTCTGTCGTCATCTCTGTCTCTCCATCTGACAGTGTGGAAGGTGCGAAACATTTGCTTCCTCTGGTGATGTAGACTCGAGAAGACTTTGACAAGAAGATACAGCCTTTGTTTCAACCAGGGACAGAGTGTGGAACAATATTGTTTGCATTGCTCGGCCATGTGCAAGGCTTGTCCTCAAGCTGTCTGCAACATCTTGAGCACTGATGGTGTGTTAGGATACAAGTTTTGTTAGGCGTCAACAGATGGTTCCTGGTGATCTGATGCTTGCTCAGGTTGTCATGTGCCAGAGTAGCAGGTGTGATGGAGGCTTTTCAGTGAGGTGCAACATTCAGTAGCAAGGAGGGTCGCATTGACTTCAAAGGCTGAAATATTAAAGTACCAGGCCAGTAAAGGGGCTAAGGAGGAGGATAGTAACTTATTTGTCAGTAACCTTTCTAAGATTTCAGAAAAATGAGAGCATAACAAGAACAGTGTCACAGGAAAGGTCATGTTTCAAGTGAGAAGGTTTTAATTACTTGGCATTGTTAGGATTAGTAAGTTCAGTATAGTACCATCATAAAGAATTGAGAAAAATGAATGATCAAGACTTCCATGTCTTTGGCTGAATAGGCAAGTACTTATGCTTCGGATACAAAAAGGTAGCTGAGCCTGAGCTTAATTCTAACAATGGCATCAATCATAACCATCCTCTTTGAAAATGCTTGTAACTTCTCATTGTGGTGGGGTGCAGATTTCTTCGCTTATGTCCATGAGCTAAGCTAGAAATAAACTTACAAGTATTAGCTTTGTACACATTGGGCCAGCTGGGCCTGGACTTAATTCTAAATGTGCATATCTCGGGCATGTCAGTTGTATTTATTGTGTAAGCAAAATATGCATAACTTTCGGTGTAGTGTTTGCAGCCTTGAGCTGTGCTTGAAATTGATATCTGCTGTGTATTGCCATTATTTGCAACAGAATGAGCTCCATCAGTTTTTTACATGTTACATATTCACTAGTACTTAAAACTAAAGAAGCATAAATTATTACTGAGGACAAGATATCAAATTTCAAGATGACGTCATGAAATGAGTTGGGTTTAGTTAGAAGTCAAGGATGGTGTGTAGTACAGTTCATAATCCTAGAGTTAATTCTGTAAGTGTGGTCTTGAAAATGGGTAAAGGTAAAAGTAGGTAATCAACATGTGTGTGAGTAAGTGACGTTGGCATGTATAAGTATTAGAAAAACAGTATAAACACAGGCATTATGAAAGACATAATGATATTCACACTCAGAAGAAGAGTAATGAAGTCCCTACTAGTAGTGATACAATATGCAGGTGAAAACTGTAATGTTACAATGAAAAGTAAAAATGAATAGTATAAGAGGATCAGCCGAACATTTCAATAGTTTAATAAACTTGCACCATAGTCATTTGTGTGGAGAGAAAATAGAATATAATGAAATGTGCAGTGTGAGAACAACAATGATCATACAGAAAAAAGAACACAAACACCATAATTTTTACCAGTTAAAGAATTGTAAGGGCAGGAGAATGAATGTGAGGTAATGAGGGTGTGTCACTTTAGTCTGGTGTCAGTGTGTTGTTAATTGTGTTGTTAAAACTGATTGACAGAGAGAAATTTTGTAATATAGAATTAATAGTGTGTGTTCGTTGAGAAAGAAGGCAACTCATATGTAAGGTTTGGGCAGGTGCAGGAATGGCAATAGTTAATCTTGTGCTAATAGATATACTTATTTTAATGATACTAAGGAAGTATTGGTGATGGAGGGTAGAACTGCAAACTTCATGGTTGTGCTGATGAAGGTTTGCGAAAATTGGCAAGGCAATAGGCCACATTGGCCGAGAGTGGCAATGTAGAGTGCGCAAATACATCTTCAGCTCCTTCGTCAGGAGGGTGGCATAGGCATGAGTGGTACTAATAGTAGGGCAGACATGGTGTGGTAAGGTGTGGATCAGGAGAGGATGTAGCGATGGCTGGGTGCTAAGGGACGTGAGGAAGCACTTCGTATCTTGGCACTGTTTAGTGCAGATAGGCACTTGGTGAATTATTCATCAATCATCATCGTCATCATCATCGTCGTCGTCATTATTATCAATCAATCATCATCATCATATCAATCATCATCATCAATCAATCATCATCATCATCATCATCATCATCATCATCATCATATCATCATCATCATCATCATCATTATTATTATTATTATTATATTATTATTATTATTAATTATTATTATTATTTTTATCATGTTTCTTCTCTGAACAATATGACATGCTCTCTAGATTTAGAAAGTTAACTTCTGCAGTCTATGCATCATAGATTGTTGATTACAAATAGTCTAATTATTGGATTGCCTAATTACCCAGTTACACAAAAGTTTTTTCTTTATAAATGTCTTGCATTCAGTTTGTATACCATATGAAGAACGATAATTTGAAAGCGTGAATGGCTGAAAAACTGTTAGACTCAAATTGAAAAACTATCGGGAAAATTTTAGAATTATTGTTATTGTTATTATTATTATTTTTAATTTTTTTTTTTTTTCATATAGACTTTGAGTATCTCAGGATGTGTTTTGCATGTGTAATTTGTATAGAGTAATATTTATGTATTTATCTGCATTATCATGTATCCTTGTTTAATCTTTTATGTTTTTTTTTTTTTTTTATTTTTTATTTTTTTTAGAAACTATTCTGACCCTGTGGCTGTGGTCAATACTCCAGTGAAGGAGTTCCATTAAAAAATGTGTTGATTTTTTTTGTTATTAACTGACTTTTTATTTCATGTATTTTTTATTTTTTGAAGGTCTTACTTTCTTCTATTAATATTCTACATTAGTAGGTGATTGGCTTAACTGGTTTGTAGTGACTGCATGTATTAGTTGAATTCTGTGTAATATTTTGTTTAGAATAGCTTTGAAAGAGTAATGCGATTGAGTAACGTTGCACTGAGAATCAAAGTTTAATTTATATTTGAAATTTTGTTAATAACTGACATTAACTTGAATTTTTTTTATTCCATTGTTTTGATTCTAATGATACTGAGTTCCCTTCTTCAGATTTTTTTTTGTGTGTGGTGTGTGGATGTCCTCTAGTGCAATAGCTGTAATTATTTATTTCATATTGTTTTTCTGCAAATGTTTCATATGCTTTATTTTTTTTTTTCAGGTTTTTCATATGCAGTAGTTCCTGATGTATTTCCTTTTCAGACTTGTTGTAAATAATGGGAGGATGATAGAAAAAGAAGCAAGAACCAAATTCATGCAGATTGTTGCAGCTCTGCGCTATTGTCACAAACGTGGGATTGTCCACAGAGATCTCAAAGCTGAAAATTTACTCTTAGATAAAGATCTTAATATCAAGCTGGCAGGTGAGTAATAGTCTTCAAGTATCGTCTGCAGAAGTGAGGCATTTTAATCTATTTATTTGAAGACATTTATTAGACTTTTACTTTGTACAAAAGCAGGTGACTTTTTTCTGTATAATGTTTTATTTGATTTGATTACATGCAATTTTGATATAGTTATATTTTGTAAATATATGTAGGACTTGGCTTGCAATCCAGAGTTTGGCTGCTTCTATAATTAATTATAGTCCTAATATGAATTACTTGTGTGAACCAATTTTGATGTGCATGTGATCCTTTTCAAATATTTTCACAAGAAAGAGAAAAATAGGAGGGAATTAGAGATGGAGAGGAGAGAATTAGAGAAGGAGAGGAGAGAAAGAGGAAAGGTTAGAAAGAGAGAAGGAGAGAAAGAGAGGCATCACCTGAGATCAAATACAAGGCAGCAAGATTTATAGATGAGAACACTACTGATGCATCACAGATGCATCTGCAGCGTTCTCACGCACACACAAACACACACACAGACAGAAAGACAGACAGACAGAGACAGACAGACAGACAGACAGAGACAGACAGACAGACAGAACAGACAGAGACAGACACAGACAGACACAGACAGACAGACACACAGACAGACACACAAAGACAAACAGACAGACAGACACAGACAGACAGAGATGGATGGACAGACAGAGACAGACTGACTGACTACTGACTGGACTGACTGACTGACTGACTGACTGAAGAGAGAGAGAAAGAGAGAAAGAGAGAGAAAGAGCATCTCTTTATGCCTCCTGTCCTTCATAGAGTAAGTCCTTTACAAAGTGAAAACATATACTCTGTATGGCACTGACCTATAACAAAAAGTGACTCAGATGATGATACGGTTTAGAATAGTTAAGTTAGATAGAGAATTGCTTTTGAAATTATCTTTTTATGTGCTTTTTATATTTAAACAGTAACCACCTGTCCCAGTCCTTTGATCTTTGTTGTATTGGGGGGAGGGCTTCTGCTTGTTGTATGTGTGGGGGGGAATACGGAAGCGCTGACTAAGACTCAATGTAGGGGACCACCTCTCCCTTGGACCTCAGTTTGGGAGGTGGTGACTGAGGCCCAGTGTATGGGACTTCCCCTGCCTTGGACCTCAACCCTCGTCTCAACTAATTTTACATGGTCTTTTCTCCTCCCCCTTTTCTTGTACTTCTCTTTGTCCCTTCTTCTGTCCACTTCCAAAGATTTGAGAACCTTGCTGAAAGGATGAAAGGCTGATTTTGTGTCAATTTGTTATTCACTTGGTATTGCCTAGCCCTTACCTTTATAGGAACCCTGACAGGTAGACCATTTTTTCCCCACTTATATTTGGCTCGCCATGACCAATAATGATTTTTTTAGCCATATTAGTGGCATTAAGGATTGCCCTTTCATCAACTAGTGTATCTAAATTTGATTTCACTAGTTTCCTGATCCCTGCCTCTCCTTTGACCATGGCTCCAACCTCTGAGATTAGTAATCCCTCAATGATGTTTGCTGACAACTCTATCCATCCCGAACCACCCACTCAGGTTATTACTCAACCCCCCACCCTCTTCCTCCTACCCTCTTCTTTTAGATGTTTCCTTCTCTACAAACCTTTTGAGTACTCTCTTTAGCCCAGCTAAGTGAGAATGATTCTTTGTGATTCACCCTGCAGCCCCTTAATCTGACAATACCCTTCTCTTCCAAAAATGTCTCCAAAAACAAGTAGGTAAAGTTTCCTTTCACAGTTATTCCAATTCCAATTGCTCATGCCTTATCACAGTTATATGTGAATTGCAAGATCATTCACTATCAGCTCTTACTGACCTCACTGGTAAACCTATGCCTACAGAACCTCACTCCTCTCTTAATTCTTTGGATCCAGTTGCATCATGGAAATCACAGTGCTAAAAACCCTGGCAATGGGTTATATAAGTGGCCAACATCCCAGTCGTGCAGCGGTGACAAGACTCTGTGCCTCCCCTTTGCAAAGTTATTTTTTGTAAACTTTTTTTTAGCTTCATCGCATTTTTCCAATGTCCATATTCATCTTTTATAATTGCTTATCTTCCTTGCACAGACTCCAAATCATCTCTCCATGTAGTAAATAACTCAGTGCAAAAAAAAAAAGATATGGAACATTTGGTTATTTGTATCATATATCTATTTTTTTCATAATTTTCAATTTTATGTAGTACAACATGCGCCGCTGATCCCATCTCCAGGAATATGGTGCGCAGCATGAAAATGGTGTCCTCCCAGGAGCTGGTGCTCTTTCAGTCACTGCTTACGCACGTTACATTCCAAATTTGTTTATTTGCTCATGACGACAAGATTTGTCATCCAGCCTGTGGCCAGATTGTCCGATTGATGCATGTTCACATCTCCTGCCCCTCAGCTTAAGTTTTTCTATGATGTGACCACAACGTCATCCGGGTCCAATGTGTTAAACTCAAACTGTTTCAATCTCCCAAGCTGATTGTCCTATCTACAATAAGAACTGGTTAGACTGACCTACTTGCCTGCTTTGTTGACTATGATGCTGTAGCAGTACAGTGCTATGCTATTCCTCTTAGAGGGCAGTGTTAATCCTACACCAAATTGCTAAGATTAGCTTCCATAGACATGACCTCATCCATAAGGTTTTTACTAGTGAAGCCGACCGTGTTGACTTTTTCCTTGTCACTGTCAGAAATGTTGGTGTTTTTACCCAGCTAAACACTATCGCTCCACAGCCCACTGCCCTCCGTGTGTCCACCCTGGTCATGGACGTTCAATTTGTTTGCTCAGTCATGTACACATGGCAATTGTGGTGGTATTTTATAGGAGCTGCCCTACGTACAATCTCAAATGTCTGGTAGTAGTTCTCAGATTCAAACTAGGCATCACGAAGAAGCATGGGGAGAAAGTTTTTCTGTCTCTACCTATTCTAAGACTATTCTTCACTCTACTCCCCTCCCATCTTCTCAAGATGTCTCAGCATCTCCCCCAGTATCTCTTCCCTTTACCCTGAACCATCCTATATCTACTTCCCCTCTTCCCCAATCAAATTCCTTTTCCAATCTTAAACTAGATACTCCAATCTATACCACTTCCCTGATGCTTACCCCTCCACCCCTCCTCCTCCTCAAGTTACCTGTTGCACCAGGCAGCCAAATAGTTCTTCTCTATCTTCTCCTACCACATTCTATCCTATGCCCTCCTCTTCCTTAAGTCCATGGACACATATCCCATCTTCTGCTTGTTAACACATTTTAATTCTTTTCTCCACAATACTTTACCATTGTGCTATATGACCTAGATGTCTAGCACAGTTGTTAGTTGTTTGTTTTTAACCATTAATCATTAAAGATTTAAACATCATCTGTTATTGATTATGGTATAGTGCATTGTTTCACAAGTTTTTATACTTTTTTCTCTTGTTTCAGACTTTGGCTTCAGTAATTTCTATACTCCTGGTGTTTTATTATCAACATGGTGTGGCTCACCTCCTTATGCTGCTCCAGAACTTTTTGAAGGCAAAGCATATGATGGCCCAAAGGCAGATATATGGGTGAGTATTTTTTTTTTTTTTCTTCTTCTTCTTTTCTTTATACAGAGTAAATAGGTGGACACCTTATCTGTATTACTGAAGAGCCCTTTTGATATGGTAATGCTTCTGTTGGTGTCCTCCTTTTTGGTATATCTTGTGGATCTTCATACAAATGGACTGGTGGGGATCACGCTGATAATTTTGTCATTTTTATTTTTTACCCATTAGCGATGGGTGTCTCATATATGAGACCCGAAAAAATAAACATTGCTGGGCGTCCCGCCAGTGTGACGCTGTGTTGGGGCTCATGCTCCAATGCAGTAGTGGGCCGCGGCCGGCGGGCGGACAGACTCTGGGGAAGCTCTGCCCGCCGATTTTGTAGCCGCCTGGAATATTTTATTTTTGGCTTCAAAATATACCGGCGTGAATAGGTTAAGGGGGGATGTAAAGGTTACCAAAGCATCTCTGTGATAGCTAGGATCCATTATAAAAGAGTTGGTTCTTGTAAGGGGAGACATTATAGTTAATTCCCCATGTGATTTATCTTTTTCAGTAAAGCTTACTATTCAATTGTCTTTTGCAGAGTTTGGGAGTTATATTGTATGTTCTGGTGTGTGGTTACCTGCCTTTTGATGCAAATACCCTGCAGACCCTACGATCAATTGTTGTAGCAGGGAAATTTAGAATACCTTTCTTCATGTCTGCAGGTAAGATTTTAAAAATATTAGATCCATGCATTTTTTATTACTTTTATTTAGAGGAAATGAACATTAAAGCCTCCTCTCAAAAAGTGAATAATTTCATAATTTAAAACACTATGGAGTGAAAATATGTATCATAAATTTTTGTTCCATTTCGGAAAAGAAATCTTAAAAGTGTATAGTGTGATTGATAAGTAAGGAGGAATTATTTGAGAGGATTACGTTGTGAATATGATATATTTGGTCTGTAGAATTTATGAATTAAATTCTGGAGACTAAAAAATGTATATTATGAAGCTTATACTGGCTCAAACATGGCATAATCCTTAATCATATTT